AAAATCAAATGTCCTCTAAGCATCGTTTCTCACCTTAAGTGCATGTGAGATGAGAACGTACCTGTTTGATTCCCAGACCATTGTTCGGTTTTCACTGTTTGCGAAATTATATTTGGGATTAAGGCTGTCCATTCAGCAGAAAGGCCTTTCTTCCATTTCCCTTTGATTTCTTATCAGTTTTATGATTTGTTAGCTAGAGGTCTCTATGAAATTAGCTATCTGCACAAAACCAGGGAAATACTCTGTGCTCCTGAGCAATGGTAAGCACAAGGCCAAAAAAAAAAAAAAGCTGAGCTCTGTTCAGTTTGTGCTGGAAATAAAACTTCCCTGCTGTACATTCCTTGCACGGTCTCGAGCTCTGCCTTCCACTAGACCTGTCCTTTAATAAAGAGAACATCAGAAAGCATAAAGCTTCAATGAAATTGCTTTCCCGAGATAAGAGTTGTTTCAGCACATTGATGATCAGAGCCTTGAGAATGTGAGGGCTCAGAGCTGCACTGTTGATTCGCTCTCTGAACCAGTGCTGTCCAGCATAAGGCTGGGCAAGAACATACTGAGATGGGTGCCCCAGGCCCAGCACTGCTAACAGTCCTGCTGTAGCCTTACCTTAAGCACCAGGCGTGACTTGAAGCACAGGATGTAAATCTATCAGAGAATCCAGATGGGGGCTGTGAAGGTGGGGACAGGCCTAGAGGGCAGAGTGTTTGAGGAGCAGCTGAGGTTGTTGGCTCCAGAGCAGAGGAGCTGAGGGGAGGCTGCAGCTCCGTGCAGAAGCAGAAGGTCAGCGCTGCGCTCTGGTGATGGTGACAGACTTGAGGGAGCAGTGTGGAGCTGAGTCGGGGGAGGATGAGGTGGGGGTTGTGGAAAGGTTCTGCATGGCCTGGAGCTGGTGGAGCTCAGAGAGCTCTGGGATGCTGCTCAGTTTGGGGTTTGGGTGGTGCTGTGTGCGGCAGGGGTTGGGCTCAGTGATCCCTGTGGGTCCCTTCCAATCTGGGACGTTCTAGGATTCCATCACTTTCTCTCATGGGAGAAGAAAATCTTGTTGAACCTGAGGTCAGCAAAAACTTCTTCACTGACATTAGCAGCTGAATCTTGAATGATGTAAGTTGTAACATCAGTTGCAATAAGGATAGGATGTAATTATGTGTAGATGTGGGCACGGGAGAATGGAAGTGCTGAAGGACTCCATTGCTGTTCTTCATGCTACTGCACTCAAATGCCCTCAATGTGGAGTCCAGAGTATCCGTGAGGTTTGGGGTAAGTGCTTGGGCATCATCTTCAAGTGTAGTTCTATGGCTGAATGTTGAGACAAACGCTACTTTGCATTAAGCATATTTCTCCCAGACATAGAATGAGTAGAGAACTTCCAGGCAAGCAAGTACGAGGAAGAACTCTGGGTTCTGTGGAAGTAAATGACAGCGTGAGTTATGTGTGAGTGGTAGGAAAAAAGAAAACAAAAGGAGGGAAATGTGGAGGTCAAGATTAAAAAGAGCTTATCATAAAGTAGGAGAAATATTGGGAACTACTGTAACTTGAAGCAATTCACAACTATGCGGCGGCAGGAAAGAGTAAATTCTCCTTTGGTTAATGTAGGTGAGAGGACAGGAAAACCATACACCACGCACCTTGAACCACCTGAGCCATTGAGGGCTTGCTATTGTGGGTGCATCAGTGTGTAATGGGCTGCAAACTGTTTATTGGAGTGTATGTGACTGCTTGAGAGAGCAAAGACCATCTCAATCAGGGGTAGATATTTTCAGGTGTGAAAATCATCCTTTTAGCTAGTAAGCATTCCAAGAGAGCTAATGAATATCTTGAAGGAAAGCTTGCAGCAGCAGAGAAAAAGCCACTGTACTATCATACAAGTGGCTGAGAAACCTTCTCAGGGAGGCTCTTAATGAAGACTAATGAGTTAGGACAAGTTGGAGAATAGTTTCATGTTAGATGTTTAAGAAAACAGCATTAAGTCCTGAAGGTTTCAGAGTACTTCATAGTACTACGTAGTCTCAGCTGCTTGATGTTATACCTATGTAGCAAGAAATCTCAGAGATCAATGTCCAAACAGGCAAGAAGGAAGAAGTGTGAGAAAAGCAAGAGTCTGATTCTTAACTGAGGGACTCTGATCCTTGAAACCCTTTGTCTTTTGGAATCCTGTTACTTGTGGAGTATGAATACGAAGGTGACTCCAAATCTCTGTAGTTCTAGTACAGTGATAAATTCAATAGCGCTCCATACACAAGGCACCAACCAAGTCAAATTGGATGTGTGGGCCTGGAACAAAGCACCAGGCTGTACTGCATCCTCTAATGGAACATGTCATTGCTGAAAAGAGAATAGCAGATGAGAGGTTTCAACATCAATTATTGGGTGCAGTCATGAGGAGAAGGGTTTTATGTTTTTTGTGAATCCTTCTGTAGGATTCCAATCTCCAAATATTTATTTCTGGCACTTTCACAAGTTGGGGACTTCCCATCATTCTGAATTGGCAACACACCCACTTCAAACCTGTCCTGGTATGGAGTAAAGTCCCCCAGAATTTATATCTGTTCTGTAAACTGGGTGATTAAATGATGCAAAATGTGGAAAAACTTGAAAGGCTCGTCAGCTTGAACATTCTGCACAGCTGTTGTTAAACACTGAATATGGAGACAAGGAAGGATTTAATTTCTGAGATGCTTGATGTAGTATTGCAAAACTGCATTATGTGATGCCCTGTGCCTTCAAGCTGATGAAAGCAAACTGTGCTTCTATGAGTAACCTAATTGGTTTCCATAAGACACTCTTAGGGGAAACATCAAAAATAAGAAAGATGTGAAGAGCCATGCTATGCTGGGAGGATTTGCCAATTTGTATTTGATATTCTCTCCAGCCAGATTAGACAGATTTCCGTAGGTATAAACATAGATAGTTATTAATTTATGTTCATGTACAAGGAGGCAGTATGTCCAAGTGGACAGAGCTCTAACTTGTCTCAGGGAAATATTGAATCTTTCCTCACTTCTGGCACGACTGACTCTAGCTAACCTAGGAAGAAAAAGTCCCGATCTTTTCTCTTTAAAACTTAGGTTTACCTTGAAAGTGGGATGCTGGTGGAATTGAAGTTTTAGGTGAAACAAAGAGTAGCCTGGGAGACCTTGGGGTACATCCGTGCTATGAGGCCCACCGCTGCCCTTGGGAGCTGCCCAATCTGTGTCTTTGCTGTAGATCTTTGAGGTACAAAGAGCTGCATGTGGGAAGGAGGGTTCCCTGCGTGCGGTTTGAGCCTGATCAGCCCTTTGTTCGTGTGGTCCGGGTGGGCAGGGCATGCACAGTACTGAAACTCAGGGTATCCCACTCTATCCTCATTCTTACTGCTGCTGGCTGAAACTTAAGCAAGCAGCAGTATGGACAGAAGGCAAACAAGGCCACAGCCATACAGACCCCTTTCAGTTTGCTTTTAATCCATGGACCAGTTTAGGGAGGATTTCTTGTGAATACAATGGAACTGATATTCATGGCAGTGCTCTCGAAGGCATCTCTCACGTGCACACATAAACCCACAGCCAGTCTGATTCTGATCTGAGAACAGCTGAAACACTTGGAAATTTCAGCATAAGAAAACTCTTTGCAAAGGCATGCAGCTCTGGAAAGAAATAGCTGTTTGGGCTGACGTCTTGTTTTCAGATCTAAGGTGGCTAAATTCTATGTGGACAGTTGTGGTTTTTCTTGGTGGTTTCTGCTCAAGTTGTTTTTGCAGGATAAAGGAGCAGCTCCATCTACTTTTCCCCGGGAGCCCTATGAAGTGTTGTTCAGAGGGTTTATGTGTGTGGGCAGGCTGCCCGCTTCTGCTTTTGGTTTTGCCCATTAAAAATATCCATCTGCTCTTTGCACTGTCAGTTTGTTCTAGCTTGGATATATTGGCTATGTCCATTATTTAAACACAAAGCCTATGCTGAAGATGCAGCTAGCACTGTTGACCAGAGCCTAAGATCTCCAGAATGACCGAAGCCCAAGAGGAAGCTCTTTAACCTGAGGAGAGCAGGTCTACCAGCCCAACCACCTTGATTTTCCCTGAGTTTGAGTCTTTCAGGCTGGGATGGCTGGCTTGATGCCATGGTGATGCGGATGGAGATCAGGGACAATCAAGTACTGAACGTGCTTCCACATGAACCAAAGCTGTCTCTTAACTCTGTAGGTTGAGCAGTGCAGGGGTCAGCCCCAAGTGCCGCACTACTTGATTAAAGCAACTTCTATGGCAGGGGACAAGTCTCCTGGTCTGAACACTGTAGACCTGTATTAAAAGCTGTTGGATTTGGGGGAGGGAGAGGCACGCAGTGGGATAGAGGAATCCTGGTGTGGTTGGCTGCCATCAAAAGGAAGGAGGATTTTGGATATGTGTCACCAGCGATGAGATCCAGGGGGGTTTAATCCCAGGGCCGGTGCCGAGTATCCCGGGTGGGATCAGCTGCAACACTGGTTGTAACCAAAGGGTTGACCTGCCAGCAGCCTGGCAGAACACTGCTTCTCAGGATCAGCAGCAGCTGCAAGCGCCCACTTCTCCAGAAACCCATGTATATTCAAGCGCTTTGTTTAGGGCTCCCTACTTTGAAAATACTCCCCATCCTGCTGTCCCTCTGCATCAGAGAGGCGAGAGTCTATTGTACCAGCAACCAGGCTTCTGTGAAGCACCCCAGAGCCCTCCTGCACAGCTCTTTCCCTGCATCCTGCGGGACACCCGCACGCCGGGAGCTGGCCGCGACCGGGGCGAAGGGCTGGCCTTAGGACCCTGGGACTGCCGCCAGGGCTCAGGTGGGTCGGCGTCATTCGCCAGCCTCGCTCTGTGGGATTCATTCATTCCAATGGGGTGGGGGGTGTGCTCGACTGCTTTTTCTTCCTGGCTGTTGGCTGTGATCCTTCCAAGCAATGGGACTAACAGTTTTCTCCGGGCAGTGAGTGCTGTACTGGGGCAGACAGCGCTTTCCTTCTTTCTGGAAGAAAACAAGCCGTGAGGATAATTAAGGATGTGCTGCCCAGATGTGTCTCCCGCCTCCACTTTTCTCGTAGCACTGATGTGCTTGGCAGCTTTCGGCAACTTTGCTAAGACTTCTTCAGACTTCTCAGGTAGGGAAGAAGCGCTGATCCCTCCTGGCTGCCTGCTGGGAGCTCCTGTTACAGCGTGGGGGAGCAGCGCGAGGAGAGCGCATAGGAGCAGATCAGGGGTAGTTGCGCGGGGAGCGGCTTCAATCCTTTTAAAGTAATCTGATGAAAAGGATCTCCCGTAAGATTTCGAGTTTGTTAAAATTCTGTCTCAATAAGCAAAATTTCCCCTTAGCAAAAGTGCTTCAGATAAGTTAGATCTGAGTAACTTTGGGAACGAGGAAGGGAACGATGTTAATTTCTGCTTGTACCTGCTTTTGTGCTGTGTTTGAGAAATGGAAAGAGAGATCTAGGACCTGGGACAACTTAGCATATAATACTGTGATGTTCTCTGAGCTTTACCTTTCGTAATGGGCCAGATTCTTTTGCTCTTAAGATACAGTTCCTCAGTGTTCCAAATGTTTCCTGAGCTCAGGAAACAAGGAGACATTAGGTGCACAGAATAAATTACATTCTGAGCCTGTGTTGGCTTAACCCACGATGAAGTGTCTCAATTACAAATTAATTGTGCAACAGGAAATTAAAAATATTTATAGTGTTGTTTTTTTGTGCACAACATTTAACTGCACAGTGCTTTGAAGTGTGGAGTCCCATATAACTTCTATGTATGTAACTGCATCAGTCACTTGAAAATTGGCTTTCTGTTCCTTGTGAATGTGCATGTGGGTAAGAGAAAACATCCTGGGTCTCATGTGAGCAGTGGTGATTATTTTGCTCAGGAATGGCTATTGGGGTCATTTTGCTTTTGGGATATCTCCTTTAATTTTGTGACTCTGGTCCGGCGTATTGTTTAGGTGAGTGCTGTGAAACTGTTGTAGCATACAAAACCTGCCAAATATATTTTGCTAATAAAAACATTCATTTGCAAGGGCTGAATCTTGCCAGACTGTGGTCTCAGCACACTGCAGCACTGCTGTTTGTTTCCTGGAAGTGCATGTAGCCTGCGTGCAGCTCAGATTTGTGTTAGAAAGGAGCCTGTGCTGGACATGGGGGGGGGAAAAGTATACAGTAGTTTGAAAACCTCTAGCGGGAATTGAAGGGGACTGTCTTGCTTGAAGTCCCATTCAGATGCAGGTCAGATGAGGGGCTGCCATTCAAAGCAGATCTGCCTCTGAATGGAAATAAGAGCATGTTTTTCTCCCCCTTCCTTGGCAGTGAGCTTTCTCTGTACTCCTTATTGCAGTGAAGTTAGTGCAGAAAGGGGCGTGTAGAGTGGGCAGGACAGCAGCAAAAGCTGTAATGGGAAGTACAGATCCCAGACAAGCCAACTGATAAACATTAAGGTGTGCAAAATGTCCCAGAGCGAGAGTACTTAACATTGTGTATGTAACATCACCAGAGCAGTAAGTGCACACTTGTTTGGCCTTGGTGATGCTGACAGTGGGGATAGATGCTGTCATTTAAAAAAGGAAAAAAAAACCAAAAACTTCTCAACATCAGCCATGTGGTCATGGTATGTGATGAGGGGTGTTACTTTGTGTACCTGCACTGAGTGGTCGTACTGTGATGCAGGGTCTGAGCCCTACAGTCTGCAGTGTGCTTCCACAGTGGCTGAAATCATCATCTGATTCAAGCTAAGTTTCCTAATAGCAGGCTTGGCAAATGTCCCCAGTCTTGTTGAACTAACTGTACCTTATGGGACAGGAAACATGTTTTGCTGCAGGAAAGGGCTGTGCCTGCTGTGGGTGGTTCTGATAGAGTTTTAAGCATTCAGAGCTATGTTGACAGCAAGATGAAAAAGGATAGAGAAAGACTGAGTATTTTCCAAATCACGTTATGCTTCTGCAAAACACTTTGCAGAGATCAATGCTGAGAGCTTGAGCAGCAGTGGTGGAGCCTATTAGTTCTTGCTGTGTGATGGAACACTGCTTTTTGCTACTGTTACCCCTATACAAGAATTGCCAGGTATAATAAGGGAGGGAAGAAAATCTTGTAGTATAACTTGGCTATAATGGTTTTTGGCCATTTATTTGTGTTTTCTATACTTCTGGGCGTTTTTCTGATATGGCTGCATTTGAGTAGCTGAAGGTCTTCAGGAAACACATACAACCCTACCACCCTACCCAGAGGATGTTCATCTGAGACATGAATTGTCTGCATCCCAAGGAGATGAATGGATTTGTACTAAGTACCACTGCTGAGGAATGCAAGGCTTGATCTATTCCCTTGGAAGGCTTCAGCAGCAGTTTGGCTGCTCCCAGTTGTTGGAAGGAGATGATGAGATTCCCCTGGATGGAAAGGCTTTTCCAGGTTTCAGATAGCAGTATTTTCCCAGACAGCGGCTGATGCTCTTTGGAGAATGATGTTTTTAAAACCCTGTAGACCTCATTCAGCCACACAGCTTCTCTGCTTGGTTTGACCGAGTATTAATGGCATAATGCTGGTTAGTAACGTGTTATGTTCTTTCTGGGGCAAGAAAGAAATATTCTGCAGTTCCAGTCCTGTAAAGAAACAGCACAAGATTCAAGGTATGTGTCTCTTAGCTGCAGGAGGATTTCTTTTTCATGTAGGCTATGGAAAGGACTTTGAAAGAGTAAGTGGAGGACCAGCATGGCCCTTCCCACAGGAAAACATATGTGGTGCTGGGAGATCTCCTTGTTGTGGTCCCAGGCCCATGAGCAGCTGTGCATCTCTGTGCCTTCTGTTTGCACAGTTCAAGCACCACAATGTGAACGTAAGTGTGCACTGTGCTGGGGACTGGTGCAATCTGAGATGTAAGAATCAAAATTCCATTTAGGTGAAGTATTTGAGCTATGTGAAGAGTTTTAGTTTTCTTCAATAGCTCTTTAAACATTGATGTTTGCAGGGGGTGTGGGTGTAGAAGCAGGGAAGTAGGAAGCAAGTCTTTGGGGAGCAAGTGGAGTAACTAGGCACTTCATAGCCACTACTTAAAACAGGCCCGAACTCTTCTCTCCGTGGCTTCTTGTACTGTGGGCTCTTGTTCTAATCTCACTGTGATTGCTTCTTGTGCTCAGGAGTGTTTGAAGGCTCAGGACTCAATGTCATGGTATGTCACATACCCCCTTCTGTTTACAGTGAGGCTTGAAGTCTGTGATGGGGTGTGGGTAAGAGGCTGGTCTTCCAACTCTCTGTACTTTAAGTGTAACACCCTCAATCCTAATCTCATTCCTTGCAATGAACTCTGAAATCCTTGCTGGAAGGTAAAACTTCACTTTTGTTTTAGCCCTTTTCTGTTTGTGGTAGGAATCCAAGATAAAGAAGTGAGTGGCTTTCCTTGCCGCTGCTGCTCTGGGTAGACCCTGGGAGCTGGTGATGTGTTTACAGCACTCAGAGGTCATTCACAGTGTTAATGAAAACAGGGCTGAAACTCATCTTGGTGCTGGCTTACTGCAGGCATTGAAAGTTGAGCCAACAACTCTTGCTCATATCCCATGTATTATCTCTAGCTCCAGCCACAGGGTTTCTTTCACTGCATGTGAATCATGCAAACCCATGCTGGCTGTTGGCTATTTACTTTCCAGCTGAATGTCCGCAGGGAATTAGGCGTAGTGATTACGTGGCTGCTGCTGTCTGTTCCTGCGGTAACTTACCTGAAATGAGCTAATCAGTAGGTAAGGTGGACAGAACAGCAGTGGCATTGGATCTACTTGACTTCCATCAATTTCATGTTGGTGGAGAAGGATTCCTTCACTACTGCTGCAGCGTAGAGAAGTCTGTACTGTGAACTTAGCCATTTGCAGACCTAGTAGAAGACACTATAGAAAGCCATGCCAAAGATTTCAGTTTCTAGGCATGAAAATAGCTTTGACTGGAACTCCTGCCTTTTCTGACATGGGACAACCTATCTGGAGGACGATAAGCTGTAGGAAAAACAGTCCCAGTAGTACTTCACTCCCTGAGCCCACTTTAATATTAATGTTCTTTGTGTTATATTTGGCACGAGCTGAATGTGAGCAGCACTTTGCTTAAGGGAGCTGATCAGGCACTGAGCCAGGTGAATCCTGATAATTCCCATCCACACCCTGCAGGTGAGCCCTGGGTAGCTTTCAGCAGTTTTCTCTGGAGGTTCTCTCTGGAGAGCACAGATTTTTTTTTTTTTTTTTTTTTTTTTTGGTAGGTGTTTGTTTTTTTTCCTTTTTTCCTCCCCAAGAATGGCAGGTTTCAGGTCAAAGCTGCTTTTGGTGCCTCTCTGCTAATTGGCTCAGTGCATTTGTTGAAGCTGACGAGCTGCATTTGGGAGGGGAAAGGCACTTGACTGCGTCTTATCAATCCACAGTAAAAGCAATTTGCCTGACAAATCCGTTCATCGCATTATCACCAACCTACAGCTAGCAGCTCCCTGAATGACTTCAGTTGGACTTTGGTATTGGTTTTGGGCATTTTGAAGAGAAAGGCAGATACAATTTCTTTTCAGTGTAGAGCTGTAACACAGTAATAAGGTTTGTGCTGTTGACTCCAAGGGCAAATAGGTGTGCCTCAGCCTTTGCTTTGGGACAAACCCAGAGCACCTCTCACGTCCTCTATATGCAGGACTCTGAGTGCTGTGGTTGGACAGGCCTCAGCCCAGATGGCTGCTTTCTTCCTCAGCTGGAGGTTACAGCTCTGTGGGCTTACTGAGGGAGGTCTGTGCCGGGACAGGGAAATTCTCCTTTGCAGAAGCAACAAATTCCAAAACCTCACCGAGGCTGCTTAAGAAACTCCTGAAAATGTTTTGGAGAGGTGACTGCATGGTGAGCTGTACCAGAAAGGCTGAGGAGCTGAAGGAGGGTGGCCGGGCCTGGCAGCCAAAGCTGAGCAGTTTTCACAAAGTGCCCTTGGTCCATTGCCTGTCAGTGGGCAGAGCCAGGTAGTGCTGGAGGATGAAATCGGGGATGGGTGCCAAGCGCTGGGGAAGAAAGCACAAATGAAGAGGTTGTTTCAGTGCCTTAGAGATCTGTTACTGCTTGTCAGCATGGATGTGGCTTTGTGGGTGTATGGGAACTGCTGAACCTCTGACTGATCAC